AGTGGCCTTATCTATGCTTATGGTGTGCACTAGGCCAGACATTTCACATGCAGTTAGTGTAGTAAGCAGATACATGAATAGACCTGGGAAGGTCTATTGGCAGGCTGTGAAGTGAATATTGTGATACTTGAGAGGCATTGCAGATGTTAGGTTAGTCTATGACAAACGCAGTGATACATGTGGGAGTGTTGCCAAATATGTTGATTTGGATTATGCTGGAGAAGGTGCTGGAACGCTTCGGTATGCAGGCATCAAAGCCTGTGTGAGTACTCCATTGGCTGCCCACTTTAGACTTTCAACACAATTGTCACCACAGACCGAGGAGGAGGTGGAGCACATGTCTCGCATTCCTTATGCTAGTGTAGTTAGTAGCCTTATCTGTGCTTATGGTGTGCACTACGCCAGACATTTCACATGCAGTTAGTGTAGTAAATGTAGTAAGCAAATACATTGATAGACCTAGGAAGGTCCATTGGCAGGCTGTGAAGTGAATATTGTGATACTTGTGAGGCACTGCAGATGTTGGGTTAGTGTATGACAAAGGCAGCGATACGTGTGGGAGTGTTGCTGAATATGTTGATTCGGATTATGCTAGAGATCTTGATAGGAGAAGGTCCTTGACAGGGTATGTCTTCACTCTTTATGAGTGTGTGATTAGTTGGAAGGCGACTTTGCAGCCCGTAATTACATTATCTACTACTAAGGATGAGTACATGGCAACTACAGAGGCAGTGAAGAGAGCTATATAGTTGAGAGGCTTGGTTGGTAATTTGGGCTTGCAGCAGGATGATTTGATTGTGTTTTGCGACAGCCAGAGTGTCATACATCTGATTTTTAATCACATGTTCCATGAGAGGACCAAGAACATTGAAGTCAGGTATCACTTCATCAAAGATGTAGTTGCACGAGGTGCTATTATAGTGAGGAAGTTTGGGATAGCAGAGAATCCGGCAGATATGATGACTAAGGTCATTCCTACTCTCAAGTTCAGACACTGTCTAGACTTGATTGGTACTTGCAGTTGCTGAGGCCCTTAGGGGTATGTGGAGGTGGAGGTTGCGAAAGGAGTAGTTAGAGATTGTGGAGCTTGACATAATTCGAGCCAAGGTGGAGATTTGTGATGTTGTGACCCGAATTTGGTGCCAGGTCGCAACGAGCTTTGACCCGTTTTATCATGGGTCGTGGACCCTAATTAGTACTCTCTTATAGTCTGATATATAAAGGCGTTTAGGGTTTGGAGTGGGTGTGAGAGAGACACTAAAATTCGTACAGAAATGAGTGGGTAGAAAACTTGTAATTTCCAATTTTACACATAGTGAAAACTTTGGCCAGATCTCCACCGTGGACGTAGGCAGTTGCCGAACCACATGTAAATCTTTGTGTTATTTGTATAGTGTGTTTATTTTTCTGTTGTGTTGCTTGGTTCGTTGCGTTTGTCGTAACGGGTACTTTACAAGAATTCATGTATTAGCATGTTAATGCAAGGTTGAATTACACTAGCCTCCCTTGATTTTAGACATAATTACATTGACCTCCCCTTTGTTTAAAAAATTACATTGACGTCCCCTGTTAGAAGTTTCCATTAGATGGCACTCACAGAACTTTTCAATTTACTATTTCCTAAGTTATTATTATAATTTTTAATAAAAAATGGAAATAGCATTGGTACTGCAAAAGGAAAAAATGGAATTTGAAATTCTAAATTGCTGATATTGGCAAAAATCGTCATTAACCAGTTTTGCAGTTAATGGAGTTAATAATCTGTTGCAAACTATGTCTAATAGGAAAGGTAAGTGTAATTTTTCAATTAGTAGTGGAAGTCCACGTAATTATGATAAATCTCAAACGAGGTTATTGTCATTTACTCTAATTGTAACTATGAATGTATTCATGTTTAAAACTACTATAATGAAAATTGTATTTAAAAATTGGATGTTAAAAGAAGCAACATGGAACATAGAAGATGAAACAAACTTAATGTGGAATAAGATGACTTCAAAAATAAAACAGTAGCGAAAGAAATCCTAGGGGAATCAAAAGGAACAGGAACATTATTTAAAGAAACTTGGTGGTGGAATGAACAAGCCCAAAAAGTCGTAAAAACAAAAAAGCAATGCTACAAAGTTTGGCAAAAACTAAAGTACTCTATTTCCTGCAATTTTCAGTATTCTTTTGATATCCCACTCCAAACCCTAAGTGCCCTTATACAACGGGCTACAAGAGTGTATTAAACAGGGTCCAAGACCCACGAGCGTAAAACAGGTTAAAAAATATTTACTGCCAAAACAAAATTTAGGCCACAACATCACATTAAACCATAAGCTGCTTACAATAATCTTTATAGATCAGGTCATAAACTCTTCAAACTATGTAATTTATTAGTTAAATTCTCTTCATGGTTTTTACTAATTAAATTTTCTGAGCTAGTAAACTGGCATTCTAATATTCTTCTTGTATGAATTATGTAACTTTAGAGCTTAAGTTACATTTACGACTTACAACTCCAAAGATAAAATCAAATTGCCATTACCGTACACATTCGTTGTTGTTCAATTTTTAATAATAGTAAATTACTAATAGGAATATAATAATAATAGTATTAATAAAAAATAAAAAAAAAATTAATAGAGATTGTCTTTCAAAGCCATTCTTTTACCACAAACTGGAATTTAAGTTGCTGGGAGATGGTCTTGTATGTTGTGGGCTTAAGAATATTTTGTAACTTGGTTTCCTAAATCAGGGAAGAAAGGGGATCTGTAGAAAGTTGCAAAGGTTAAAGGGCTGGCCCACGGGGTTGATTCATTTTCTGATTAGGGTTTACTTCCTTTCAACCAGTTTAGTAGACAAGGATATTCCTTGAAGCATGTGTAGAGTGTGGTTAAGTAGCAAATACATTTTGTAGGTATTGTTTTTATGTGATCCTATTTTATTGTTGACAATCGACTTAATCTCCATGGATGTAAACAACTTGCCAAACCATGTATGTTCTAGGGTTTCTCTCTATGTTTGTAATTTTTTACCACTATCATATATGATTTTGCGGCTCTACGTAGCATTAGTCAGTGATAAAATGTGGAAACTCTTACTGCATGTATTCATCCATCTTCATTCAGCCACCCCTGCTATTCAATCCCCATAGTGGAAATAGGTATAGCAGGAGGGAAAAGAAAAGAAACGATAACAAAAGTTACGAGAGAAATGAAAAGAAAGGAGAGGATAGTGTTATGAAGGAGACAAAAGGAAAGGATGGTGTTAAATGTCAACACCTAATCATGTTTGGGGACCCAAAAAAAAATTATTAATTTACTATTTAAAGGGCGGGGGGTATTTTGAATTTGTCCTTCAAAAAATTAAGGGTGAAATTGGAATTATAAAATTTTGATGGAACTTAAATCTTTTCCTTTCATTTTCTCCCATTTAAGGGGTAAACCACTTTTGGAGGGGTTAGTGAAGCCCTCTTTTTCCCTCCATTTCCTTTCATAATTTTATAACAAACACCAGATAAGGTTTCCTCCCCATTCCCTTTCTTTTCTATCCTTCCATTTCTCTCAAACCAAATTGACCCTAAATGGTGCTTTAAAACCCAAATTATAAGAAAGACCAATGCAAGATTACTGAAATTAAATAAAGAAGAATAGATTAAGTTATGACTAATAGACACATAGATACAAAAATTAAGAATTTGCCTTCGACTTTTGCTTCTCAAAGTATCAATTCATGTACACTATAAGACAAAAATACTTTCATGAAGTTTCATAAGTAATAAAATGATGTGCATGGTAAAGAAAGAACGTGGCACATCTCAATATCACAATCTTTCTGACATATAACATTATCTATTCTTATTACTTCTCTCTCCCCCTTTCTATCATAAATTGAAAAAAGGAAAAATAATAAGAAGAGATTGAATAAGAATATGCCAACAATACATTATGAATTAAGGACAAACTCCCACTAACTTCTAGGTATGAGTTCCAAAAATACAATCAATTTTTTTTTTTTTTTAATTTCTGAATTTTTTTACTGAAATCAAAGACTCAAAAAATTGATGTATCATGCATTTCCTAAAGAAATGCTTTTGATGAAAATTTAATAACACCTGAGGCTAGTATTTATGCACAAATCAATTAAGAGTTTTTTTTTTTTTTTGATAAGTACAAATCAATTAAGAGTTGATTACCTATTCTAGTCCCTATTCTAGTATCAAGGAAAATTCAAACAAAGTTTTATCCACTTAAACAATTTTTAGTAATTTTTTCATTTAGGTTCCTTTGGGTGTAAAATGAACTAAACTAATAACTAAAAATTGGTATTATCTTCATTTACCATTGTTATTTCATACTCACAACAATAATCAACAATTGCCACTACATGAATGCAGACCCAACCAATTTTGAATAAAAATAAATAAATAAATCAAGTACACATAATTCACCACACTCCTAAAAATCTCTTTCTATATTATCTAAATTTGGGGGCTTTACAGGCAGCTTTCTCCAAAGACAATTTTAATATTAAGGTTTCTCTTTATATGCCCTATTGTCTTAGTAGCTTCAGACAAATCCCAAAGCTAGTCCTTTCCATAAGTACGACTTAACAAACGGTTATATTTTTCTTTCTTTTCACTACCGTTGGTTTACATTTTTATTTTTTCTTTCTCTTTTCCTTTTATTAATTTTGGTCTTTTGCCATGCTTATGGTCATCCCAATTCTTCTCAAGGTACTAGATCAACCCTACAAAATTAAAACCTAGGACAAAATAGTGACAGTCAGTGTGAACATCAAAGTATCCTACATGAATAAACAACTAACTAAAGCTAGGTAAATGGGACTATGTCCAAAAAATCAAGAAACTATTTTGGTAATATAGTCTCAATCAATTATGTGTCTCAAATCTACAATGAGTTCACGGAGTGTTTAAAACAATTAGACTGCTTTCATGCATGAACACCATAATAACTACATATATGAGCAGAACTTTTAAGTAAAAAATAGTTGACCTTTTCCAAGGAGCCTTTGTTGTAATTTCACCTTTACAGAATCATTGGTAAGAATATTCCTGCAATATGGTCAATTAAGTTAGACAAAATGGATTTCCTAGTGGATGCCTAAGTAATCTTCATTTCATCAAGGATGGTTGTAAAATAAGTTGACCTATAGATAACAATAAATTAGAACTATAAAGATAAATTGACCAAAACTAATGAAAAATATCATGAAAGCCTCATACGTAACAAAAACCTAATCATTGCTCTAATTGCCTAATATAGTTTTGCACTAATACCACTTTTCAGGACAAATTCAGTGAAGTAGAGACACAATCATATAATTCTAGAAATTAAAGCAACATTGTTCAATGCACAAGGGAATTGTACTATTGCATTGTAACTTCATTTTTAGTGAACTTTCAGTTTAGGAATGTAACAAAGTTGGACAATTTTAAGGATAATAAGAGCAGTTGAGAAGAAACATAAGAAATAAGTATACCAGGTCTTACATTTTAGCTGATGGTTAATTTGCATCATAAGGAAAATGAAATTGATTTCCAGAAAAAGAAAAAAAAAAATGGAAATGTACATTTCAAACATGAGAACAACAAAAACAAAAAATGGTTCACTCCTTGTAGAAACATCAGTGCAATAAATGTACTAAACAGTTGCAGACGTTGCCCTTTTTTCTTATTTTTATGTTCTCTTTTTCAGTAGGCCTTGTGCCCTCTCTTTATGATGACTGAAGGGCACCTTGAGTAATTGATGGTGCACGTTTGTATATAGTGCATTAATGTTATCAAGAACTTGTAAGATAAGGATCTAAAGTGTGGTGGAAAAATATTTACGATTGGAAGAAATTTAAAATATGCTTGGATTAGAATGTGATAACTGCAATGTGTTGGAACTTTAAAAAGCTGTCACCAGCATTGCTCACAGCATCTATTTCAGAATGTTAAATTAGATACCATGGTAAAGGCTTATACAATAAGGAAAGCACTAGGATTGTGTAAGTAGGATATGAAGTTGCAAGAACTCCATGTATTATTTATAAATCAAATTTCCTTCAAAGCTTTAGCAATTCATATCAATTCTATAAATATGTGCATTTATAAATACAATAACAACAACAATACACATGGATCAGCTAAATGAATTCTATGTTTCATTCTGCTCTATTTAAGGCCAAAGTCTCCGTCAATCCACATGCTATATCATATCTTTCTTTACTAAATCTCCCTCAGTTTACTTTGGTCTTCCTCTTCCCCTAGTATCACACTCAAATGTGGATTATGACACTTTGCCTAACCAGGGCACTTGCAGGTTTTCTTTGCACATACTTGCATTTATAAATGTATATACTAAATAAATATAACAGCAAAGAAAGTTAGAGCTTACCAAAATCTCAAAGACGATGAACAGAGGGACGAATTCAAACAGAAATCAAGAACGGCTTCTTTCCTACTGCCGATGCCAATAACTTCGACATACTCACAATCATCACGTAAAATCCCAGAAACCCAATTCTCGCTATTTCGATTTTCATTTAAAATAGAATCTTTTTCTAGACCCAATTCAATTCGAAGAGGCTTTACATTGCACTTCAATATCCTTGAGAACTTTCTGCGACGCAAAAAAGAGCATTTGAAGAAAGATTTTGAAGAAAAAGGGCACAAGGAGGTACCCGACACTGTGTGGAGACTGGTCAAGAAGGGAAGCTCCATAGAAATTGAAGGAATTCGTTTGTATTTACGGCGAAACCATCACAAAGTTTGCACCAAGTTTTTCTTCGACCGAATCAGTCCCAGACTATGGTTTGATTACGGATTGGAAGGATCAAAAACAGCCAATTGACGTCTTTCGCAATTATGAAATGAGTTAATTTGCAACAAGCTTTTGGAAACAACAACAATCAAATAAGTGAATTTTCAGGATTTTTAGGGAAAGAGGGAGAGAGGAGATTGAATAGGTAGCTAGACAAGAGTGATGATATTTGTGAGCAAAGGGTTTAATGGAACTTACATATATCAAAATATTAACTACTAAGGACAAAAGTGATAATTCAAAATATTGAAGGTGAAACCCTAACCCAATCCAATAAATGAGCCATTGTTGTCACGTTCTGAGTTAAATCCCTGAGCTAGGTGTTTATGCAAGCAAACTCTAACTCCACGGTCACAAGACCCCACACCCGAATGCCTGAAACTGACACATATAGGGATAGTAATGGGGCGATTTGGGACGAGTTTTCCATTTCTCATTCCTGCCCTCGTTTAATTTTGGTACTCCCAAAACCGCCTCATAACCGGTTAGTTTTTTGCCTTTAATCCCCATAACCGTCCCCACCCAGCCCCACTTGCCCCACTCCCGCTCCATAACCAATTATATTTTTATTTAAACACAATCATAGCACATATACACATATATATACATATATATATATATATAGAAGTGTTAAGTGTAGGGTTTCCAATATATATATATAGAGAGAGAGAGAGTGAAGGTTAATTTGGTAAATATATTAACATGGTAGGATAAATTAATAATTTAAAATATTATACAGGGCGGTTTTGAGGCGGGTATGGGGCAGGGATCTTAGTCCCCCGCCCCCGCCCCACAACTGGCCGGTTTTTTTTTTTTAACCCCCATCCCCACCCCATTTAAGTAAACGGTTATCCAAACCCGCTTTAAATGGGGCGGGGGCGGGGCGGTTCCCCACCGGATTGGGGATTTTTGCCACCCCTAGACACATAACATGGACATCATACCATAAAATATGAACTCATTCTAAAGTCATGCCCCAAGCACTGCATTATTAGAGCAATGAGAAGATCTAAAATGACACATATCAAATAGCTCAATCCATGAGCTAAGAACCTACGCCATTCATAAGAACTAGCATCCAAACAACCCTGGAATAACTGAGTTCCCTACCTACAAGTTATAGCCCACATGGCAAACCACATCATAACAAGTACTGTAATACACCTATATTTTAAATGATTTATTTATTATAATTAATTACTTTTATTTTATTTAAAATGATTTGTTTGATTTAAGTAGAATTATTTGTTTATAGTTTGTTTTAAATTATTTGTTTTAATTAATTGAGTGTTTAGATTAATTGTCTTGCTTTAATTAAATTATATTTCGTGATTATATATAATAATTGTTTATGTGTATGCATGATTATTGATTGAATTGTTGGCGTGTTGATTTTATTGGTATGATGGTGATGGCTCAGAGAAGGATATGGATGCCTCCGATGACCAAACACAGAGGTGTCGACAGCCATGCCCTACAACACAGCCTAAGAGTTCTTCTCAGGCTAAGATTCCGGAGCTATGTGCCAAGGTGGCACAACTGAGGGCTGGACAAACAGTGTTGCGAGATATGATGACTGAGTAGCGAGCCATTCTTGATGAGCTTCTACACCACACTCCTTCTACCGTTGCTTCTACTTCCACATCCATTCCATCACACACAGATTAATTGTCTAGGGCTAGTTTGTACTTTCTTTTAATATATAGGCTCAATGACTTGGGCAATTGATTTTTGTTTTATTTTGTTGTTATATCTAATCGATTCCTGCCGAAAGTCTTTTGTTGAAAGCATTGTATTGATATTCATCATCTATACATATGTTTTTGCCTATTATACCATGTCCATGTGTTATATCTTCTTGTGCTTATGGATATATTTCTGTTTACTCCATATACACTATACTCTGATGTGTGCAGTGGAGTGTGATTATTTTGTTAGGTACTAAGCACCAAGTTTGGGGTGAAATGCCTATTTTTGCCCTCTGTGCTAGAATTCCTAATTTTTACTGGGTCTACATATTTGGTAATATCTTTCTATCTCTACATATGTTTTAACACATTGAGGACAATATGCACACTAAGTTTGGGGGTAAGACAGATATTTTAAAATTTTGTTGATGATATGATATGCATAAGAGGATGTAAGTTAATTGTTTAAGCATGATTTTAAATCTATTTATTGTTGTGATATTCATATGCAGTCTAATTTTGGTCAAAGATGGGTTATAGTTAGTTGAAATTCAAGAAACGTCTTTCTTTATAACCTGAATTAAATGAATGTTACTGAGTTTAATTCATTGGATACATAAATTGTGAAATCCCAAGGTTGAATGGTTGACCATAATACGAGATTCATGGTGAAGTCAATCCCTAAAACTTTCTCTCTCTTGATCTTATCCTTAATTTAATTTAGTTTTAATTTTATATTCGTGACAAACAATCAAATCAATCCACTTCTCTCCTTGAATCAAAATCATATTAATTAGATGCTAAAATAAAGTACAACAGTCTCTGTGGTTCGACGCCTTTAATATAGCCCTATTCTGCAAAGATTCGTGCTATTGCGAGTGGTATAATTTGACACACATCAATTTTTTTATCCCAAAAATATTCTAAGTGTTGAAGAAAAAGACGTTTCGAAAATTATTTAAATAAAAATGGCTAAGTGTTAAAGTCATGCTCAAGCTCTATTCCGAGGGGCTCGAGCCTAAGCCCTAAGGCTCGAGCCCTGAGTCAAAAGGCTCGAGCCCTGAGTCAAAAGGCTCGAGCCCTTGTTGTTTAGTCAGACTTAATTGATACGGGATTTGCCTTATTTAAGTCCTTTCTCATCCCAGATAGGCCCAGATTACCCTAGAAGACCTAAAATCCCGTCTAACCTTTATTGAAAGTTAATTCTTCTATAAATGGAGGCATAAGGCCACAGATTAAAAGATCATTCTCTTAGTTATTTTTTTTCATTAGTGGCGGCTTTTAGGGTTTCAAAAGTGAAGATCCCAAGAAGAGAATTGCGGTCCATGGCAATAAAGACCACGACAACACAGATGATATCTGTCATCGTCATGAGTAGATAATTCCTGATGTAGCCCGAATTCGAGTATTATGGTTTGATCGTTCTTAACTTTGGGGATTTATATATTTATGTATCTTGATTGCATAGTTATGAGCAACTAATTACGGATCAGTTGGTGTTTTAATGAAATAATGATTTTTGAATGATTATTACTTTGTCTTAGATATAATTGTTCTCAACCTGTTTATACTGGACGGCATGGTGGAGGCCTATCGGATATAAGAATGGAGATTGTTGGCCTAAGGATTTTATCTAAAGGTCAATCTTATGTTTTGATGATTACAATCCATTAATGATGTTTATGTACTAATATTTTCATTGAGTGAAGTATAGTTGATCAATCATTCAATCCTCAATGATGAGCTAGAAGTTCTATCTCAAGCATTCCAGACACTCAAGCAATGATTTCAAAGATGCATCAAAGTGCAAGAAATTAAAGAAGAACTCGGACTTCAAAGATCATTCAAGCTTTTCAGCAAATCTTCATCAAGCCTAGACAATCATGGTCAAGAAATGAAGAAAAGGGTAGATAGGATGGTGAGAGCTTAAGGTTCAATGTCAAAGTTTAGTTGAATATATTTTGAAACTCAAAATTACAATTCATGTATATCATTCTCATTTCATCTTTCAAAGAACATAAAATTAGCTCATTAAGTTTTTGAACACATTCATATGAGCCTTACATCATACTGGAATTCATTTTAAGTCTCCTACTGAAAGTAGAGAAGGCTCTATAAAATTAGAGAAGGCTCAGGGGAAAGTAGAGAAGGCTCTACGAAAGTAGAGAAGGCTCTAAAAATCTAGAGAAGGCTCAAAAAATTAGAGCAGGCTCCATTTCAAATAGAGACGGCTCTAAAAGCTATTTTTCAACGAAAAATGAAGTTTCCATCCAAAGAGCAGGCTCCCAAAAAGGAGATCTGGCTCTCAAGGCTAGGGAGCCACCTCCTCTTGTTTACAAGAGCCGGCTCCTTTTAGGGTTTTGATCTACAACGGAAACTTTTTCATTTATTGTTTTCCAACCACCTGCAACAGCTATATCGACCACTGTTTATCTATAAATACAGAGGTTGGTCTGCATCAAAAAAATACACTATTACAGAGAGCATTCTGCCATTCCTGAAAAGTATTAAAGAAGCATTCGTTGAGCTTTCATTCCCTCTGCTTTCATTTCCTCTCTTACATTTCATTTGACTGTAGTAATTCTGGGCTTCAGATATATATTCATCTTTACTATAGTCGTGAGCAGAACTGTGTACTTCAATCTTTGAGAGATTTATTGTACAATTCATTTCTATTCCAAGTTATTGTAAAAGGGTTGGTGTGACCCAAAAGAAAGTTTAGGAGAAGGGTGTTCTCTTAGCAAGGAAGAGAAGCAAGGTCTTGCTTCAATTGAAGGTTTGCTCTCCACCATTAAGGAGAAGCTCTAGTAGGAGTTTCCGAACCTCGCTAAATCGCCGAGTCATAGTTTGCAATCTCTCATCTTTATCTCTCTTATACTTGTGCCATATACTGCTTGAATATTTCAGTTTCTCTGTGCTTAATAGTTTGTTAGATTTAATATTTTTAAATTACAAAAATTGGCCCTTGACTCTATTCACCCCCCCTCTAGAGTCAATTAGTGACTAACAATTGGTATCAGAGCCTAATCTCTAGAAAAAGATCTAACCATCTTAGAGAACGACCATGGCCAATTCAAATTTTCATCAAGAAGGTCAATCTAACAATAGACCTCCTTGGTTTGACGAAAATGACTACAACTATTGGAAGACCAAAATGAGAGCATTCCTAAGAGGTGTTGATATAGATGTCTGGAAAGCCACAGAAAAAGGAGACCATGTTCCAACCAAAATAGTAAATGGTGAAACTTTTCCAACACCTGATATTGAATGGACCCTAAATGACCGTAGGCTTGTACAATGTAGTGTCAAGGCTATCACTAATCTCTATTGTGCTTTAAGCAAAGACGAATTCAATAGAATTTCGGATTGCGAAACAGCCAAAGAAATTTAGGATAAACTTGAAGTTACCTATGTAGGGACCAGTCATGTAAAGGAATCCAAAATGAATATGCTTGTCCATAAATATGAACTTTTCACCATGAACAACAGAGAAACTATTAGTGAAATGTATTCTCGTTTTACTAACATTGTGAATCCTTTGAAGGCTCTTGGAAGATCATATACA